GAACCACAGATAACATGAAGATACTGGGTCATTTGCAAGGAATGAAATGCAAGGAACTTTCTGTCTCCTCGGGTATTCTGATGGCTCTTAGAGACGCCTGTCCATTTGTAGGGCAACCAAATGCAAAAAATAAATAAATTGATTTTCTCTATGCTAGGTTCAGCACCACTGACTTAACAAGTGCCATGACATGAGGGACATTGTCATGAATCTGTAGAAAATTCACAGCTATAAGATAGTTCTGTAAATGAGAAACCGGAACAACAATGGGCATAGTTAGCTTGACATTGCGTGAAACTTTTGAAAGCCTGCAATCTGAACTAATAAGGTACCAAAGGCATTCAAGGAAGACTCTCACAAAGTTTTGCCAGATAAAATATCTTCTAGAATGTCTGAAATGTGACAGACGCATGTTGTGTAGCTCTGCAGCCTGCCATTAACTTATCCAGATGCACAAATAAACTAAAAATAATAGGGAACAAGAGAGGATTCTGATTTCTAATCAGTTTAGCATGATGGATTTTTCTGCTGGTGGGACACAACAGCTTCCATCATCCTTGATTGTCTAAAACCAAGACAAAAACACAGCACTTGTGCCCCCTAATGCCATTCTTAGTGTAATGGATGTTTGCTGATTCGAAGTTCACTATGGAATGTTACAGTCGACAATAGAGGAGATGCTTGCATTCAACAAAAAATTAATCACAGTGTTGATGGAAAAAAAAATCAACTTTGTGAACTAGACTGTGAAATGACAAACACTTTTCAAAATACACATACAGAAGTTTATTATGGATGTAAGGCAGCTGGAAAAATTATGCTTCACTCACGTTGGTTGCAGCTTCTTCTGATATTGTGCTGAGGTATTGAACAGTGGGCTTTGCAATTTCCCAGAAAGATTCTTCTGTTTTTTGTTTTGTTTTTTTCCCTTTATGCTCTGGGTACTTGAACATTTCTTTCAAATTTATCCCAGTGGTGGGTTTTGAGCTGCATTATTATAGGAGGTGACGGAGACAGTAATTGCTGGTCTCCCGTTTTGCTTCCTTTTCATATTTCTATTATCCTGAAAACTTCCTGTCTGGATACAGAACCTAATTTTGAAAGCGTCCAATGGAAAGAAGTTTCCTCTTGATGGGTTCTTTTTGAGTTTAACTACATGGGAAGCCAAGGAAAGCTGCAAAGAGGAAGAAAAGAGGATGGTCCAGTGGAAAAAAAAAGGACGGTGAAATAAGTCACAGCAAAATAAAGGCAAAGGCAGCAGATATCAAACCTAAGAAATCCCCCCCCCCTTTTTTTTTTGGAAATAAATGTAAAAAAGAAAACAAATGCCTTTGGCATGAGGAAATTAGAGTTAATAGAAGAGGGTGCAAGAGAATGTTCACATATAGGATTAGTCTGCAAAGGCTTTCCATCAAATCTCCCCCCCTCCCTTCCCTGATGATAGCAATAGCACTTTGACTTATATACCGCTTCACAGTGCTTTACAGCTCTCTCTAAGCGGTTTACGGAGCCAGCATATTGCCCCCAACCATCTGGGTCCTCATTTTACTGACCTCGGAAGGATGGAAGGCTGAGTCAACCTTGAGCCGGCCAGGATCAAACTCCTGGCAGTGGGCAGAGTTTGCCTGCAATATTGCATTCTAATCATTGCGCCACCAGAGCTCTTAATAATATTACCTAGTCGGGTAATTAAACCTCTGTAAGAAAACAATCAAACTCAGAGACCTTCTCCTAACAATGATTAGAGTCCTCCTCCTCCTCCTCCTCCTCCTCCTCCTCCTCCTCCTCCTCCTCCTCCTCTTCCTCCTCCAGGTGGGTCATGAAAAGTCCATAAGAAAACAACCAAGCTCAGAGGGCATCAAGGACCCTATACCAGGGGTTGGCAACTCGTGGCTCTGGAGCCGCATGTGGCTCTTTCACCCCTCTGCTGCATCTCCCTGTCACCGGTCGGCTCCACAATTGATAGGGCTTTCGGTTAGGACAGGTAGAGAAAAAAAGATGCCATGCTAGGAGGAGACTCTATGGTGGGGGAACTAGACTTCTGGTCGGCAGAGGAAAAAGGATGTTCATGCTAGGAGGAAACTCTATGGTGGGGGAACCCGGACTTCCGGTCGGCTCCAGAACTGGCGGGGGGGGGGGGGGGCGCTTCCGGTTAGGATCTTTGTGGATCTTTGAGTGTTTAAGATTGCCGACCCCTGCCCTATACTCTAACCCCCAAAAGAGCTGAGATTTAAAATTTTAAAAGCAGGTCATTACATCACATCCCAGCTCTCTGGGACGAACCATCTCCTAATACATCCCACAAGAAAACTGAACCATTTACAGGCAAAAAAAAAAAAATCTGAAATTCAGAAAGGGTGGAATTTCGGTAGAAAGCAGCTAAACAAGAAATATCCAAATCTCCTTTCTTATTGCAGAAGCCTTCCCTCCCACCATTCTAAACTCCCTTGTGGAATTGTTCGTACATCTATTGTGCATAATGCTGTAAAGCCTTTCGACCAAAAAATAAATAAAATTAAAAAAAAAAATCACACTTCCTTTCTACAATAGCAGCACCTCTTCAAGATCTCTCTTAAAATAGCTTATGTAAGTGAAAACCTATTTAGGGTACCAAAATAAGTTGGCGGGTGTGTAGTTACTGTAGATATGGTTTGATTAAAAAAAAAAAAACTCAACAACAAAATATCTTAAATTGGGATTACTTATTTTATTTATTTATTTCTATCTGCAATGGTCCTCATTTTCTACCATTTGTGGGAAGCGGAGGTTTTTTTTTTTGGTGGTGGTGGCAATTGTTAAGATCTTAAAATATAGATTTATTCAAGAGGGACTGTAGCGGCTGGGAAGATGGAGGCTAATAAACATCAGCACAGTGTGAGTTTGATTTTTATGCATAGCAACTTGGCAGCCTCTGAACATTTGCTGCAAAATATGGCTATGCTAATGCATCTCCCATGTGAAGGTACTCACAAAGTGAAGACTTTTTTATTTATTTTATTATTATTTTTTTTGCCTGGAACTCGGGGAAGAACCTGCATGCTGGAATTAAATCTTCATTTTCGTCATTAATAACTCTACCAACAGGAGTGATTTGAAAAGCTATACCTAATCAATTACCACCGCTATTGCAAAGCCCAAATCGGGATTGGAGAAGAGCTTAAAAATCCACAGAGATTTAGAGAGATTTAGTAAGAGTAATAAATTTCCAAGGCATATTTCTGTAGCCTTGTTTTTTTTTTTTTTTAATATAAATGCACTCCGTAGAACCGATGGAGAAAAATAAGCAGACGTTAAATGTGCATTGCTATTTATTTATTTATTTTCATGGACACTTTGCATACTTTCTCCTGCTTGAGAAGCAAATATCATTACAAAAAAATATATATATATACTTCAACCTTTTTTTTGTCTTTCCTCTGTTATTATTCCTGTTATTATTTATTCCTCTTGTCCATCCACATTAGAAATAATGGCTAAATCCTCACCTGAGCTATATGTTTAAAAAAAAAAAAATCTGATTTGTACTTAGATTCAGGGAGTACAGCTTCCCCACCAAGGACCCTTGGTGGCGCAGCAGACTAAAGTGCTGTTAATTAGCACTTAGCTGCCAGCTGCCTGCAATTACTGCGAGTTCAAATCTCACCAGGCTCAAGGTTGACTCAGTCTTCCATCCTTCTGAGGTAGGTAAAATGAGGACCCGGATTGTGGGGGCAATAAGCTGACTTTGTATAAAAAAGAACACTGCTGGGGGGGGGGGGGGCGAAAGCCCTACTAAGCAGGTATATACAAAAGTATGAAGGCTATTGCTTAACGCATTGTAAGGCGCCCTGAGTCTCCGGAGAAGGGTGGCATATAAATCGAACCAATAAATAAATATCTTATTCCCTTGCATATTTGAGCTGGGCACAAACAACCTTTTGAATTTCTCCATTATTCTTGTAAAAAAAATTCATGGAGAGAGGACTATCCAACATTTCTCAAGGGCAGGCATAAGAGAAGATGTTTCATGGGTAGGAAAGGTACCCAGCATTGGAGAAAGTTTGAATGTATGTAAACCATAGATAGATAGATAGATAGATAGATAGATAGATAGATAGATAGATGGATGGATGGATTTTATTCAGCTGGTTCTGACCAGTTCTGGAGAACTGGTAGCGGAAATTTTGAGTAGTTTGGGGAACCGGTAAATACCACCTCTAACTGGCCCCACCCCATCTATTCTCTGCCTCCCGAGTCCCAGCTGATTGGGAGGAAACGGGGATTTGGCAGTATCCTTCCCCTGCCATGCCCACCAAGCCATGCCATGCCCACCAAGCCACTCACACAGAACCAGTAGTAAAAAATTTTGAATCCTACCACTGGATAGAGAGAGAGAGAGAGAGAGAGAGAGAGAGACAGAGACAGACAGAGAGAGAGAGAGAGAGAGAGAGAGAGAGAGAGAGAGAGAGAGAGAGAGAGAGAGACAGAGACAGAGAGAGAGAGAGAGAAACAGACAGACAGAAAGTCAGGCAATAGATAGATGATTGATGATAGATAGATAGATAGATAGATAGATAGATAGATAGATAGATAGATAGATAGATGATAGATAGATGAGAGATAGATAGATGAGAGATAGATAGATGAGAGAGAGACAGAGACAGAGACAGAAAGAGATACAATAGATAGATAGATAGATAGATAGATAGATAGATAGATAGATAGATAGCAAGGCAGATGGAATCAGAAATGTTTCTTAAATAGGACTGCTAAGATAATAGTACCAGTCTGGCTTTTGAAGAAAAATCATAAATTGCCAATTTCTGAGTCTTTACTATCTACTAGAGCCATAAGGCTCATACAAGAACGCTTACTTTGATACGTCGTGTCAAGTTTATTGAACAAATTCATTTTTTAAAAGTCCCAGCACTAGATCTATCAAGATCTGGGATCACCTTTCTGCATAATTGAGTTTATTTTCAGAAACCTCCAGGTGATGTCCCTAGCTGAACTTACCGTAATCTTCAAGCAGTTGTTTCTGGAACTGGGACAAAGTCAGCCTGTCTTGCGGTGCGCTAGAACTGTTCTCGTCAAAGCACACTTGATTCAGCTAGAAAAAAGACAGAAAAAGTAACTCGTGCATCCCTCTTTCCTTTCCCGAGGGATGCATGCAATACATTTTCCAAACACGGAAGGGGTCGATGGAAAGCTACAAAGTGCCAACGCTGGATGGAACCAACGGAGGAGCTGGCACCAGGGTCTGGTGAAAACTGGAAAGTATGCAGGGGTGGGCTTCAAAAATGTTAGCAACGGGTTCTGTGCCGTTGCTGGGTGGGCATGGCCTAGTCAACCTCCTGCCACGGCGCGCGGGGCGGGGGGGAGGGGTGTTTTTGCCCTCCCCAGGCTCCGGAGGCTTTCCTTGAGCCTCGAGGAGGGTGAAAACAGCCTCCCCAGGCTCCAGAGGCCCTCCAGAAGTCAGAAATGGGCCCATTTCCGGCCTTCCAGAGCCTCCAGGAGGCCTGTTTTTTGCCCTTCCCGAGCCACCACACGGGGCCTGCACTTACCTGGCGTCCAAAACGGTTCACATGGAGACTCCTGGGAGGGGAGGGGAGGGGTGGGGCGGGATGGGAGGGGCCAGCCAGGAGTGGAATTTGGGAGTTCATCAAACCCCACAGAATCTTCACTAGAGGATTGCCCGAACCCGGGTGAACCCGGAGTAGTCCACCCCTGGAAGTATGGAATTCATTGAATAGACTGCACACGGGTACAACAAGATCCAGAGGCACTCTGAACCAATGGGGCTATCCGGTGGCTTCTGCGATTATGGTGACATGCAGAAAACAACACGTATGTGTATCTGCCTTTGTGTCCTGATCAGTGTACACCTCAGGACTTCTTGGAAGCAGGACAGAACGCAATTAAGGTGGCTAATTTCTGGGCAAGATCTGTTTTAACTTGTACGTTTTTTGATCTTGTATCTTACATTTTCGTGAAGAGAGGTTTCTTAAATCAAACCAATAATAATAACCTGATGACTTAGAATGATAAAATTCTAGTTACTGATGGAAGTAACTAGAATGATTCCAGTGTATCTAATATATTAAATGCTTTCCAGAATGACAACAAACAGAAAGGGAAAACTCAAGAAGTTTTGATTTTATATTTATATAGACAGTAGTGGCCAAAATTGTGGAAATCTTTTGGGAAAAGTGTATTTTTGAGATTTGATGGCTAATAACACCACTTTTTTTTTTTTTTTTTTTTTTGGAGTTTCAAGATAATCCTATTCCACTGCTGGAATGGCCTGGGAATAGCCCAGACCTTCACCCAATTGAAAATCTATGGAGCCAACTAAAGAACCTTGTTAGTCAGAAACAATCCAGCAATAAAATCCAGTTAATAGAAGCAAACATTCAATCTTGGTTTCACATTAGAACAGCTGCAAAACTAAAAGACTTGTTCACTCCATGGGAAGATTGTAAGGCCATAATTCATGCTAAAGGTTACCCAACTAAGGATTAACTGAAATGGTGATAATTTTTGTACATCTCGTTTTTTCTACGCGTTTCACTTTTCTTCTTTATACTGTCACTGCTATTCTAATAGCAAATCCTTCATAAAAGTTATTGCATTTCATTCTTGATTAAATTCTCTTTCCATTGATATATATTCTTTGGTACTACTACTCCAAAAAAAAGTGGTGTTATTAGCTAGTTTTAGAAAATACACTTTTCCCAAAAGGTTTCCATAATTTTGGCCACTACTGTAAATCTATGTCATCTATTGGAAGAGTGACTTCTATTACATAGCAGGGGTGAAATGCAGCAGGTTCTGACAGGTTCTGGAGAACCGTTAGCGGAAATTTTGAGAAGTTTGGAGAACCAGCAAATACCACCTCTGGCTGGCCCCAAAGTGGGGTGGGAATGAAGATCTTACAATATCCTTATCCCAGGAGTAGGGAGGGAATGGGGATTTTGCAGTATCCTTTCCCTGGAGTGGGGTGAGAATGGAGATTTTGCAGTATCCTTCCCCTGCCACGCCCACCAAGCCATGCCCACCAAATCACACTCACAGAACCGGTAGTAAAAATATTTGGATTTCACCACTGTTACATAGGTGCTGCACTGGAGTAGGATAATAATAGCTGGGCCATCTTCGATCGTGTTTATGTTTATATGAGGAGGAAGAAAAATGAATACCATCCAAAAAAAAAAAAAAAAAAGGCAGCGCAATCATTTTGACGGGAAGCAGATTACCTTCAGCCAAAGATAATCTTCCGTTTTATCTGCAACTTCACTGTGGTTATCGGCAATATCACACCGGCCTATGATACAATACACAGCTCTTTTGTAAGGGTCCGTGTTATTTCTCAGAGCCCGTCTGTAATGGAGGCGAACTTTGTTCTCGGTGGCAGGAGAAAGCCTACAATTTAAAAAATGAGAAGCTGAAACTTGAGATGTCTTTAAAACAGTGAAATCTGCCATTTTCTTCTCAAAGTAGCTACCCGTGCTTCAAAAGTGATCTTTTCCAAATGTATGTTGGAAGTGTAAAAACACAGAAGGAACCTTTTTATCATCTATGGTGGACATGTGATAAAGCAAAAAAAAAAATTGGACTATGATTTATATTTTAAATACAGAAAATCCTGAAAATGGAGATAAGGTATGAAACCAGAAACTTTTCCTCTTGGGCTTAATGGAAAAAGAACTGGAGAAAAAGTTTGGAACTTCGTTACTATATATATATATATATATAGTATATATGTTGCTGCTAACATATATATATACTGTATATACATACATATATACTATATATATATATATATATATATATATTATATATATATATAGTATATATGTTATTTACAACAGCAAGAATATTGTATGTGCAAAAATGGAAGGGCGCTTCGATTCCTACTATAGAAGAATGGCTCCAGAAGCTGATGGAGTTGGCTGAAATGGCAAAATTGACTACTTTGCTTAACGAAAAGAACACAAAGTACTTCTGTTTCCACATGGAAACCGCTTCTGAACTTCATGCTTGGTGTGGAAATGAATGAAACGTTGATTCTGGGTTTTACAAATTAGACCCGTGATGGCAAACCTATGGCACACGTGCCAGAGGTGGCACGCAGCGCCCTCTCCGTGGGCACGCGAGCTGTCGCCCCAGTCAGCTCAGCTCCGCATGCATCTCCCGCCAGCCAGCTGGTCTTTGGGTCTCTGCTGCGCATGCAATGGGGGGCGGGGCACATGCGGGGGACTGCGTACGCATGCACGGGGCGGGGTGGATGCACGGGGGCTGCGTACTTTGGGCACTCAGTCCAGAAAAGGTTAGCCATCACTGGATTAGATTGATCGATTTTTGTAGAAATGACTGGTTTATACTATTATGGTAAAACAAAAAGTTGTGATTATTGTTAATGCTCTATTCTACTGTAACAGATAAGAGTCTTTTTCTTTTTCTTTCCTTACCCTTCCTCACTTTTCTCTGCCCTCTCCCCCTCCCTATCCCTGCCCTTTCAGTTGCTTTCATATTTTGTATTTTATAACACTTTATAACCTAATTTTAAAAAGTGACTTATTAAAAAAAAAGTCGTCTTTTGAGCCAAGCAGCTTTCCTGTGACAGAAATACTGTTTTCTTGACGCCTTTTGGCTGACTGAACACTGCTGCTCATGTATTTTATATCGCAGAAACCAACCTAATAATATAACTTCGGTAATCCAAATTCAGAGTTGTCACGTGGATCGAAAGAACAGATCCGAAGGAACCTCCCACCATAATGTAGCTTCACACTCAGAAAGAGTGCCTTAATTTTAAAAAGAGATTATGTTCCACTTGAAGGAGAAAAATAAAAGTGGATTTTTCAAATGGCTGCACTGTCTGTGAGTCCCAACTGCTTCAGAACCATTCATTTAAGGCAGTGTTTCCTCAATCATGGACACTTGGAAGATGTCTGGACTTCGACTTCCAGAATTCCCCAGCTAGAGAATTCTGGGAGCTGAAAGTCCACACATATCTTCAAGCGGCGAAGGTTGATGTGCAGGAATTTTTTTGACGTGCGCTTTAAAGCTGATAAGCAAGAGAGTGAGGAAGAGATAGAAAGCAAAAGCCAAGAAGAGTTGCTGGAAACAGAAGCGATAAAGGAGCAGAAGGCCTTAGAAGAGAACAAGGAGAAGACGAAATCATTGGGGGCTCGGGATCCCAGATGGTGACGAGACAAAAAAAGAAATGGATTGAAAGAACTAAATAAACAAAATGGCAGGAGACGGACTTCGGTTAATATCAATCTGTATTAATGGATTAAATCAACTGAACAGAAGGAAGAAAATACAAATGAAGCTGCAGCGGGGGAGATACCAGAGATTTAAAGTATCAAACGTCTTCTGCACAACTCGAAAACTTGAAGCTTGTCTTATCTTCAGGTTGATTTTGAAGGTGAGCAGAAATGGCCCCAGCATTTAAAAGTTCCAACCAGAATCAGGACTTTCGGCGAAATTAGTTCTTCTGCTTCCCGTCGCCCCATGACACTCATACTTTCTCCTGGACTCTTCTGGCATTACCCAAGTACCAGGGGTGGGGCTGCTGGGGGGTTCGCAGGGGTTCGGGAGAACCTCTAGCTAAGATTCTGTGCAATTCGGAGAACCCACAAATCCCACTCCTGGCTGGCCCCACCCACCCTGCCCCACCCTTCCCAGGAGCCCCCACACGGCCCATTTTGGATGCAGGTAAGTGCAGGGCACGCGCGGAGGCGCGGGAGAGGGAGCGAACAACGGGCCTACCAGAACTTTGAGAAGGCTGGAAACGGGCCCGTTTCAGGCCTCCAGAGGGCCTCCGGAGCCTGGGGAGGCCATCTTCGCCCTCCTGGAGGCAGGAGGAATGCTTCCAGAGCCCAGGGAGGGCAAAAAGAGCCTGGATAGCTCTGCAGACTAAGCACTGTAATTTAACTCCAGCTGTCTGCAATTAGTAAGTTCGAATCTCACCAGGCTCAAGGTTGATTCAGCCTTCCATCCTTTCTAAGGTAGGTAAATTGAGGACCCAGTTTGTGGGGGCAATAAGCTGACTTTGTATAAAATATACAAAAGTATGAAGGCTATTGCTTAACGCACTGTAAGCTACCCTGAGTCTCCGGAGAAGGGCGGCATATAAATCAAAATTAAACCACCACCCCTGCCCGGCCGTGGTGCAGGAGGCTGACTAGGGCACGCCCACCATGGCCACGCCCACCCAGCAACCAGGCAGAGAACCCCTTGCTAAATTTTTTGAAGCCCACCCCTGCCAAGTACCTTGTGTCTTTGCTGTGCATGTACTCCTGGAACCAAGTTTTGAAATCTCCAGCTGGTGCTGAGCTAGGTTGACCACTTGCATGGCTGCCATTAAGTCCCCGCATCGCATGCAATAGTAAATGATGGCCCAGACAGGATGACCTTCCACTTCCCCGTCCTAAAACAATAGAGGCAGAAAAAAAAATGTCCAGAGATTTGACTTGTTAACGGACAGTTCCTCGACTTACGCCTGCAATTGGGCTCAAAATTTCGGTCGCTAAGCGAGGCAGCTTTTAAATGAGCTGTGCTCCATTTTACAACCGGTCTTGCCACAGTCCCTGAGTCCGGCTGTAGATAGGGCGGCATATAAATCTCATTAATAAATAATAAATAATAGTTGTTAAGGCAATCACCGCCATTGTTAAAAGTTAGTAACTCGGTTGTTAAGTGAATCTGGCTTTCCCCCCCATTGACTTTGCTCATCAGAAGGTCGCAAAAAGGGATCGCGTGAGCATGGAACACTGCAACCGTCATAAATATGAGTCACTTGCCAAGTGCCTGAATTTTGATCATGTGCCCATGGGGGTGTGGCAATGGTTGCCAGTATGAAAACAGTCATAAGTCACTTTTTTTTCAGTGTCGTTGGTCACTAAATGAATTGCCGTAAGTCAAGGACTGCTATACTGTAACAAAGACCTTGAATTTAGATGATAGGAAACACATGTTTAAACTGTAAGTGGTACCTACAATTGTCCGAAGATTCCACTGTATAAAAATAACTCATGCGTACCTTTTAAAAAAAAGCAAACCGCTCTTACTGATATTCAAATCCTGTCTGCCTTTTGGAAAAAGGTGCTTATTCTAATGTGTACTATATTTTTTTTTAGAAATTATATTTGCATATTCATGAATGCAAATTTCACCTATCAGGAGCTTCCATAGATGCAGGGAGCCATTTTAGCAAAAATTTCCCTTTACATGGGAGGTCTTTGTGCTCCAGACAGATGGGGGAATTCTTCAAACTGGTATAGAAGAGGATACGGTCAGAGGGGAATTGGTGAACGCTGTTTTCTCTCTTCTCTCATTTGTGGAAAGCTTAGCTACGGAATATGCCTTTCTGTGAATGAAAAGACGCCACCGGAGTCCGTCCATTATGTTTCCTTGATGCAGTTTTTCATCACTGACTCCTCACGCTGAGAAGCATCTGAGAGGTTTGTATCGCAGAAATCTCTATTCAGTGCAGCATCTTCCTTAAATGTGTTTACATCCTGCCAACGAAGAAAAATCCCACTACCTTGCCAAGCAATTTACAGAATGCCACTGTTAAACGGATCTCATTTTTAGAAATGTGCTCCTGATGCTCACTCAACATCTGGTTCCTTGCAGTTTCTGTTCATTTATTCTGGGATTTTCTCTGAATGTACCGAGCGGGGAAACAAATCTCGGTATCTTTTCAGGATAACATTCGTTATGTATGGGACCTATCAAATGCTCATTTCCCCCCACTCCCCTTGTCGGGTTAAATATACCAGGCTGTTTTCTCATCGATGTTCTTTTTAAAATGTGGCACCCAGATGTGGAAATGTTATTCTACAAGCAACTTGTAGTAATCAAGACTTAGGCATTTCTATAATTGTTTATATATATTTAACATTTAACATTATTATTATCTCTTTTATTCATTAAACATGAAACTCAAGTCACCTGAACATTTAAAAATGTGACATGAATATGATTGATTGGTACTAATGGTTGATACGGGTTGCTGCCAGCGTCCTAGGTATCAACCAAGTACCTTCTTAAAATATATGATGTTCCGAGTAGCACAGGTTTTTTGCAGTTGCTGGTGTTATTGCAGGAAGCTGCAATTTCTTGAAGTGTTTTGTGAAATTCTTGGGCATGGTACCAAGTGCCCCGATGACAATGGGTATCACTGTGACATGTTTCATCCATAGCCGTGTAGTTTCTATGGCCAGGTCGCAATATTTCATGATTTTTTCCAGTTCTTTTTCTTCAACTCTGGCGTCTCCTGGTACCACAATGTCAACAAATTGTACGTTTCGGTTTTCGACAACTGTGATATCTGGCGTCTTGTGTTCCAAGTGACGATCCGTCTGTATTCAAAAGTCCCACATGATCTACACCTTCTCATTTGCTGTAACTTTTTCCACTTTATGTTCCCATGACTTTTTGGATACAGGAAAGTTGTATTTTTTACATAATGACCAGTGGATTATATTATTATTATTGGTTAATCTTTAGTGAGATTCACAGCCTTTGAGGCTGGTTAATAGCTCAGCAGCTCGAGTCCTAACCAAGGACCTAGGAACTGTTAAGGTATTGTCGGAGGATGTAAGCTGTTCCGAGTAAGGTGGTTTTTTGTAGAGTCAAAATGTTCAAATCCGGTAAATTTAGAATTTCTAAATAGCGGGGTAGCCCTTTGGGTATTGCTCCAAGGGCTCCAATTACAATCGGGACAGTACACGATTTCTTTTTCCACAGTCGCTCAACTTCAATTTTCAAATCCTGGTACTTTGTGATTTTTTCTTGCTGCTTATCTTCAATCCGTGCATCACCAGGTATTGCAATGTCAGTGAACCATACTTTTTTCTTTTCAACTATTGTTATGTCAGGTGTGTTGTGGACCAAGTGCCTGTCAGTCTGAATACTGAAGTCCCACAAGATCTTAAGTTTCTCATTCTCTAAAACTTTCTCAACCTGATGTTCCCAGTGGTTTTTGCTGTACTCAGATCCATATTATTATTATTATTATTATTATTATTATTATTATTATTATTATTTTCATTATTTTCATTATTTTCATTATTACTATTATAATCTGAACATTTGTTATTTCTCTGTAAAACAAAACGCACCCAGACAATACACTGTTTTCAAAGTATCTATATGCATAATTAAAATATAAAATAATAATAATAATAAAAAGTCTTAAGTACTTCTTTGGGACCTTTTGCTCATAAATAAAATTGATTGACTGATACTCATTCCTTTAATTAAACAATCTGGAAAGCGGCCCATTTTGCAATGCTCTAAGCAGCGAACAAGGATTAAAACCCAAACTAAACACAATATATAGATAAGGACCAAAAGCAACACATTGATGCAAAAAACACACATAAGGTCTAAAAACAATCCACCGTTAGTTTTTTCGAATGATCTTAGGCTACGCAAGGGGGTTTGCTTTTGGAGAAAGAGCTTAAGACTGCAAGTAATATTTGTCAGCAGGCTTTTTAAAAGAACACAGCGCCTTCGGCAATCTTGGGAAAGCTAATACAAAGTGCACCATTTCCAAATATTATCAACTCTCCACCTGACAAGTGCATTCCTGACTAGGGAAATGAATAAACCAAATTTTGCTAGGACCGTGGGATCCTGGATGTTCCTACCTGCAGCCCCGGAACAGACACTGGGAGTTTGATGTTCAAGAAACTGCGGACTAACTGGTAGGTCCCAGGTACTCCGCCCAGTTGGGCTTGGTGCAAATTTCCAAAGACCGTCATCAAGGTATAGTTCTTGTAGCTGCAAGGAATCAGGCATGGCTGATCAGTCAGGATAGCTGAACATCCTTTTAACGATTTCACACAAAGTATCAGAATCGGAATAGAGCTGGGAGGGGCCTTGGAGGTCTTCTAGTCCAGCCCCCTGCTCAAGCAGGAGACCCTATACCCATGATGGCGAACCTATGGCACACGTGCCACAGGTGGCACATGTAGCCATATCGGTGGGCACGCAAGCTCAGCTCCAGCGCACATGGGCGTGCCTGACAGCTGATTTTTGGGCCTTCTGGGCCCACCAGAAGTAGGGAAACAGGTTGTTTCCTGCCTCCAGAGGGCCCATTTTTCTCTCTCCCCAGGCTTCAGAGCCTTTCTAGGAGTCTGGGGAGGGTGAAAACAACCTTCCCCACCCCCCCGGAGGCCCGTTTGCCAACTTCCGGTGGGACAGGAAGTCCCTTTTTTTTGCTGTGAGAGAGAAAAACAGGCCTACTGGACCATCGCGTGCCAGCAGCGGGTAGAGTGGGGGGGGGAGGTTGCGTGCATGCGCTGGGGCGGACCGCATAGAATTATGGGTGTGGGCACGCACCCTCCGCGCTCCCCCCTCTCCTGGCACGCGATGGCAAAAAGGTTACCCATCACTGCCCTATACCATTTCAGACAAGTGGCTGTCCAGTCTCTTCTTGAAGCCCCCAGTGATGGAGCACTTACAAATCTTTTGGAGGCAACTTCTGTTCCACTGGTTAATTGTTCTCACTGTTAGGAATTTTCTCCTTAATTCCAGATTGCTTCTCTCCTTGATGAGTTTCCCTCCATTGTTTCTTGTTCTGCCCTCTTATTATTGGAAAATAAATTGACACCCCATCCCCCCTTCTTTGTGTCAGCCTTTCAAATGCTGGAATACTGCTATCATGTCCCCCTAGTCCCATGATGGCAAACCTGTGGCATGCGTGCCAGACGTGGCACGCAGATCCCTCTCTGTGGGCACGCATGCCGTCGCCGGCTGCTCTTTTGGTTTCTAGCGCGCACATGGGCGCCAGCCAGTTTATCTTTGCACACATCAGCCACCTGGTCGTCAGGTTTCCAGCACTCCAGCACACGCGAAGAGCAGCTGGCTGGCGCGCACTGCCAGGTGGTCGGCACGTACATTCACGCCAGCCAGCTGGTCTTCAGGTTTCCAGGGCTCTGGCATGCGCACGCGTGTTCCGGTTTGGGCACTCAGTGCCGAAAAGGTTCTCCATCACTGCCTTAGTCCTTCCTTTCTCTAGACTAGCCAAACCCAAATCCTGCAACCGTTCTTCATGTTTTAATCTCCAGGACTTTAATCATCTGAATTGCTCTCCTTTGCACTTGTTCCAAAGTCTTCACATCTTTTTTTGTAATGTGATAGCCAAAACTGGATGCACTATTCTAGGTGCGGCCTTCCTAAGGCTTTATAAAGCGGTACTAACACTTCACGTGATTTTGATTCTATGCCTCTGTCTATACAACCGAGGATCGTATTCCCTTTTTTTGGTTGCTTCCTCACAACTGCTGCTCATGTTTAAGTGATCGTCCACCAAGACTCCAAGGTCCATCTCGCAGTTACTGTTTTTGAGCCAGGTTTCACCTAATCTGTATGCATTGCAGGGGTGAAATCCAGCAGGTTCTAACAGGTTCTGGAGAACCGGTAGCGGAAATTTTGAGCAGTTGGGAGGGAGAACTGGCAAATACCACCTCTGGCTGGCTCCAGAGTGGGGTGGGAATGGGGATTTTGCAGTATCCTTTCGCTGGAGTGGGGTGGGAAAGGGGATTTTGCAGTATCCTTCCCCTGGAGTGGAGTGGGAAAGGAGATTTCGCAGTATCCTTCCCCTGGAGTGGGGTGGGAAAGGAGATTTCGCAGTATCCTTCCCCTGGAGTGGGGTGGGAATGGAGATTTTGCAGTATCCTTTCCCCTGCCACGCCCACCAAGCCAGACCCACCAAGCCATGCCTACCGGTAGTAAAATAAATTGGATTTCACCACTGATGTATTGGTGTTTGTATGTATGTATAAATATGTATGTATGTAAAAAGTTAAAATCTTGGGTGTTTTCCCATGTCATTTATAAGTTTGTTAGTTAAAATGTAATTAGTTAATATGTATGTATGCATGTATTAGTATTACATATAAGTATGTTCAAAGGGAGCTCAGACCTTCTTAAAATAATAATTCTACCAGGGTTATTTCCTTTTCTTTCCACAGTGCAAGTAGACTTCAACTTACAAGTGCAATTGGAACCAGCCCTATGATTCTATGTCATGGCAGACAAATGGCAGCTTCCTGGGAGTTTCCCCCCCTCCCCTCTATTTAAGGACTTTTACCTTTGCTCAAGATATTGTAAGGCCTGCCTTACGAACTCCATCTGCACCTCCATGCTCGTCCGTATTTTCAATGTGTCACTTGCGGGAACCAGCAGAACATCTGTCATTTGCTTCACCATGGCCCACAAGTCAGCAATGTTCTGCAACAGGTGTGAAAGAGACACAAGGACCTTGAGAGACAGCTTGGTCAAAGATGGCATTTAAAAAGTATGAGTTAATGATGGATAGGCTACAATACACACAGATAATAGCCCTGGTTATTTATAGATGGATGGATGGATGGATGGATGGATGGATAAATATAGAGATAGAGATAGAGATAGAGATAGATAGATAGAGATAGATAGATAGATAGATAGATAGAGAGAGAGAGAGAGAGAGAGAGAGAGAGAGAGAGAGAGAGAGAGAGGGAGGGAGGGAGAGGGAGAGAGGGAGATAGCAATAGCACATAGACTTATATACCGCTTCATAGTGCTTTTTACATCCCTCTCTAAACCAGGGGTGGGTTCTAGTTACCTTTACTACCAGTTGGCAACGGGGCCGCATCGCACACGCTCGCTTCGCTCATGCGCTCTTCTGCGCATGCGCAGAAGCATTTTGATGACGTCAGGGTCGATGGGCGGAGCCTCCCGCCAGTTTTTTAGAGACCGGTGCGAAGCGGGGGCGACCGACCACTGCTCTAAATGGTTTAGAGAGTCAGCATATTGCCCCCAACAAACAAATGGGTCCAATAAATGAGACACCCCCCCCCCAATAAAATGGGTCCTCATTTTACCCATCTCGGAAGGATGGAAGGCTGACTCAACTTGAACCGGTGAGATGAGATTCGAACTGCCGAACTGGAGCTAGCAGTCAGCTGAAGTAGCCTGCAGTGCTGCACTCTAACCACTGCGCCACTTCAGCTCTTGATAGATAGATAGATAGAAGATAGATAGATAGATAGATAGATAGATAGATAGATAGATAGATAGACAGACAGATAGATGATAAATAGATAGATAGATAGATAGATAGATAGATAGATAGATAATAGATAGATGATAGATAGATGATAGATAGATGATAGATAGATAGATAGATGAGAGATAGATGAGAGATAGATGAGAGATAGATAGATGAGAGAGAGACAGAGACAGAGAGACAGAAAGAGATACCATAGATAGATAGATAGATAGATAGATAGATAGATAGATAGATGATAGATAGATAGATAGATGATAGATAGATGATAGATAGATAGATAGATAGATAGATAGATAGATAGATAGATAGATAGATGATAGATAGATAGATGATAGATAGATAGATAGATAGATAGATAGATAGATAGATAGATAGATAGCTGATAGATGAGATAGATGAGAGAGAGAGATGATAGATGATAGATAGATAAATAGATAGATAGAGATAGATAGATAGATAAATAGATAGATAGATAGATGATAGATGATAGATTAGATAAATGAGAGAGAGATTAGATAGATGATAGAAGATAGACAATAGTTTAGATAGATAGATAGATAGATAGATAGATAGATAGATAGATAGATAGATAGATAGACAGATAGATGACAGATTGATGATAGATAGATAGATGATAGGCTGATAGACGAGAGAGAGATGAGAGAGAGAGAGGCAGGCAGACAGACATAGATGCTACTCACAAGGAACTGAAGGGTGAAATCCTCTTCATGCTCATTTGAGTGCTGAACTGAATGTAAAGATAATTTCTCCTGAACAAACATGCAGATGCTTGCACAGTAAATTAGATGTTCAGTTAGGAAATTAATATTAGTACAAGTAATCACCCCTTACAGGAGCATGGATAAGGACTGACATCTCTCCAAATTCAATAAATATGAATGCGTGTGGGGGGTGGGAAATGCTTAAATCCATTTCCATTGTTATTTGACCCTTGGAAGGATATCTCTCTGGGTGAGTCCATGCGTCTTTCTTCAACTTCCCTAAAATTTCTCCTCTGCGGAAAAATCCCACAAGTTATTCTGAGATAAAGGCACAGGGGCCCCACAGCCACGATCCCTAACTTCAACATCTGTGTGACAAGACAAAAAAACCCCTAACACTTTTCACTTATTCATAATATATGGCATACAGTAGTACTGGCTAAAATTGTAGAAACCTTTTGGGAAAAATGTATTTTCTAAAACTAGCTAATAACACCACTTTTTTTTTTTTTTGGGAAGTAGTACCATAAAATTACAGTATGTATCAATGGAAAGATAATTTAATCAAGAATGCAATGCAATAACTTTTATGAAGGGATTTGCTATTAGAATAGCAGTTACAGTATAAAGAAGAAAAGTGAAACACGTAGAAAAAACGAGATATACAAAAATGATCACCCTAGAAAAAAAACGAGAGCGAGAGTGAGCGAGAGATGAGAGATGATAGAAGATAGACAATAGATTAGATAGATAGATAGATAGATAGATAGACAGACAGACAGATAGCCGATAGATTAGATAGAGATAGATGAGAGAGAGAGATGATAGATAATAGCAGATAAACGATAAATGAGATAGATAGATGATAGATTAGATAGATGATAGATAGATAGATAGATAGATAGATAGATAGATAGATAGATAGTTAGCTGATAAATTAGATAGATGAGAGAGAGATGAGAGAGAGAGATGAGAGATGATAGCAGATAAACGATAAATGAGATAGATAGATGATAGATTAGATAGATGATAGATAGATAGATAGATAGATAGATAGATAGATAGATAGATAAGTAGATAGATAGATAGCTGATAGATGAGATAGATGAGAGATAGATGAGAGAGAGAGAGAGATGAGAGATGATAGAAGGCTAGAAAAAAAACAAGATATACAAAAATGATCACCCTGTCAGTTAATACTTAGTTGGGTAACCTTTGGCATGAATTACAGCCTTACAACGTCTTCCCATGGAGGGAACCAAGTCTTTTAGTTCCACAGCTGTTATCATGTGAAACCAAGATTGAAGGATGGCTTCTATTAACTGGGTTTTATTGCTGGGTCGCTTCTGACTAACAAGTTTCTTTAGTCGGCTCCATAGATTTTCCATTGGGTTAAGGTCTGGGCTATTCCCAGGCCATTCCAGCAGTGGAATAGGATTATCTTGAAACTCCAAAGAAAAAAGTGGTGTTATTAGCCATCAACCTCAAAAATACACTTTCCCCAAAGGTTTCCACAATTTTGGCCACTACTGTATATTAAAATGGAGCACCTGGCTGGATCTACCCCATTGAAGCTGATCATCATGGTTGTAGATCTCCTGAATGAAGGGTAAATGTGCTAATTTCTACTTACAATTTCTTTCCTTTCCACTTTCAGTGCAATATTTTGACTTATTTATTAGGTGTTTTTTTTTTCTCTTCAGTTTCATTTCCACAAACACAAATGGACGTTCTGTGGAATCCAGATTGTTGATGGAATTTCTAGCTTACTCCAGATTTGATGTGTGGCGTGTACTCATTACAGGATTCCACCTGTAATCTGGATGTTGGCCAAAACTGGTGGGATTCTCATTCTTAAAATGTGGTCATCACTGAGGCAACGTTCAAAATTTAAGTTTAGAATCAAATAGAACTGGGAGGGACCTTGGAGGTCTTCTAGTCCAGCCCGCTGCTCAAATAGGAGACCATATACCATTTCAGACAAGTGGCTGTCCAGTCTCTTTCTAAAAACCTCCAATGATGAAGCACCCACAGCATCTGAAGGAAACCTGTTCCATTGGTTAATTGTCCTCATTATTAGGAAGATTCTCCTCAATTCCAGGTTGCTTCTCTCCTTGATTAGTTTCCATCCATTGTTTCTTGTCTTGCATGCTGGTGCTTCGGAAAATAAATTGACCCCCTCCTTTTTGTGGCAGCCTCTCAAATACTGGAATACTGCTATCATGCGCCCTGTAGTCCTTCTCTTCTCTAGACTAGCCAAACCCAAATCCTGCAACCGCCCTTCGTGCGTTTTAGTCTCCATGCCTTTTAATCATCTTAGTTGCTCTTCTTTGCACTTTTTCCAAAATCTCCACATCTTTTTTTGTAATATGGTGACCAAAACTGATGCAATATTCCAGGTGTGGTCTTATTAAGGTTTTATAAAGTGATACTAATATTCACGTGATTTCGATTCTATGCCTCTGTTTATACAACCAAGGATTGTATTAGCTTTTTTTGGCTACTGCTGACTCATGTTTAAGTGATCGTCCACTAAGACCAGTGGTGTGATTCAAATAATTTAACAACCGATTCTCTGCCCTAATGATTTCTTCCAATAACCAGTTCACCAAACTGCTCAGAAAGTTAACAACCAGTTCTCCCGAAGTGGTGCGAACCGGCTGAATCCCATCACTGACTAAGACTCCAAGGTCCCTCTCACAGTTATTGTTTTGGAGCCAGGTTTTACCTAATCTGTACTTGTACCTTCGTTTTTTTTTCTGCCTTGGTGTAGAACTTTGCTTTTCTCCACATTAAATTTCATTTTGTTGGATAGGGCCCATGGTTCAAATCTGTCAAGATCTTTTTGGATCCTGAGCTTGTCTTCCAGGGTGTTGGATGTTCCTGCCAGTTTAGTGTCATCTGCAAATTTGATGAGTTCTCCTTCTATTCGCTCATCTAAGTCATTTATGAAGATATTGAAGAGTACTGGGCCTAAAACAGAACCTTGTGGTACCCACTGCGTACTTCCCTCCATATGGATGTGGTACCATTAAGGACTACTCATTTAGTATGGTTTGTCAGCCAGTTACAAATCCAACTGCGGGGAATGCTGTCAATCCCACATTTTTCTGGTTTACCAAGAAGTAGGTTGTGGTATACTTTGTCAAATGCCTTGCTGAAGTCTAAATATCAGAGGTGAAATGATCCCAGTTCGGACCGGACCACCCGATCTGGTAGCGATGAAGGCGGGTGGTTCGGAGAACTGGTAGCAAAAATCCCTGCCCCGCTCCCATACTCAGCTGAGCCGCATAATCATCAGAGGTTTTTTTTTTATTATTTTTAAAAGCATTTTTTCTACAACCTCTTTGGCCAAAAAAATGCTTTTGAAAGTTAAAAAAAAAGCCTCTGATGATCGCGCGGCTCAGCTGGGATCGTCAGAGGCTTTTAAAAGCATTTTTTTTCTACAACC